TAGCTATGTAATGGGTTCAAGGCCAACCTGAATATCACTCTTGTTCCAGGAAATAAAAAGGACTACGTATAAGAACACTGGCACTTGGTAGCCTTAATTATCTGACTCCCTTGTTCTGAACTCTGTGTCTCAGAGGAAGGTGGTGGCTATGGAGACTGACCAACACGTGGGTGTCAGAGGCCAGCTTAGTGAGTGTTCTTGTTAATTAGGGTGGTAGATTCTACTGCTGAATTTAATCTCTTTAAAAATGTATATGCAGCTTTTGACATACATTTATATGAGTGTTATTGTACAGCTAGGCTTTAGAGTTCAACCTTTATACCTTTTCTTCCATTTTACTTGGCTGCCCTTCAGTGTCCCCGTCTACTCTGCTCACAACAACCCTCACAGCATTAACCATTAGTTTAATTCCCAATTGCCTTCTAATATGTGTGCTTCCACGTCTGGCAGCACTATGTGTATATACGTAATACTTTAACTTTCCTTTTTTTCTTTTTAAACACAAAACCGTTTATTTACATTGAGACAGACTCACATATATCTCAGGCTGGCCCCAAACTCACTATATAGCTAAGGATAACCTTGAACTTCTGATTCCCCTGCCTCTATTTCTCAAATGCTGACATTACAGGTAGGCACCATGGTTCCCGGGTTTTATTCAGTGCAGGGGATTGAACTTGTGGTCTTTGGGCATGATGAGCAAGCAATCTCTGAACTGAGCTACATACCTAGTTCTCCCAAACACATTGTACATACCTGGCTTATCTCAAGGTTTTTATAAAAATCTCCAATATGCATCTGACTCTAATTCATTTTAGCAGCTACCAAACATTGTCTACTAATGATCTAATGTTGATATATATTTATTTCACTTGGTCAATTTTGCCATAAGAAAAACAAATTTAACTGCATTGGACAATATTGCTAAGCCTGAGTTGCTAGCTGAAGGGATGATAGGGTGGGCTTTTTAAAGGACGATGCTAGCTGACTTTGTTTCTATTGTTACAACTGGCTCTTGGGATTCCCTCATACACACACTGGGAAAGCGGGGGGGGGGTGAGGGGGGGAGGGCTTCAGATGTCCTTGAAGGTCCTTTACAGTTTGTTCTAAACTCCTCTGCCTCTGTGGCCAGCACCAACTGGCCCTCATGCTGCTGCAGTGATGTCGGACTCCTCATTATTGAAGACTTGGGAGTCAGCATCCTGCAGGAGTCTCTGGTTCTGCGCCCTGCAGGCCCTGCAGTCGGTACAAAGAGTCCTCAGTGTGGATTCTGCTGGGATGGTCTAAAGGGTGAGACTTACTTTGATCTGTCTGTGTCCCTTGACACCAGGGATCTAAATGAGAACTGGACCAACCGTGAGGCTGAGTACTAAGTTCCAAGCTTCTGCAAACTGGACTGCATTTTACCTTAATATAAACAAAGGAGCTCTGCGCATACTCCTAGCAGCTCCAGTGTTTGGGTACATTTTACTAAATTAAAAATACTAAAGGTAAACACTTGATTGTTTTATGGGCTAAGGAGAAAATGGCTTCACAATAGCTACCCTTTTGGAAAGTTGTCTGCTGTTTGTATCCATCTACTGGTATTGTACCTTCTGAACCAGGCACAGAGATCTGCTGTATTTCCTAAATCTTCGAGTCTTCAAGCATACCATCCATCTAGACAGAATAATAGCAATAGCTAATCCTTAGCAAACCAGGTAGCCGGCTTCAATCCTTTCACTTCATGTGCCCATTCTCACTCATCTTCAGGTACCTCCCCACCTCTGGTTAATTCTTTATTTAGCAAACGGACAACGTCCTTCAAGGTCAGGGAACGAGAAGCCAGTGCAGTCTGTCTGCAGAACTTAGATTCTTAACGCAACACAACCATGGCAGTAGGCGGCAGTAGACAGGCAGAAAAAAACACTGTGTGGCTTCTTGACTGTCAAGCAATGTCACCTGAAACTCAATGGTGCCTTCCTATCCATTGTCCGTAGAGGTAAGTGTTGACATACCCAGATAAACATCAACTAAACAAAGATAATATGGGGTAATATAGGGTAGACCGGAATCCACACAGATCTGGTTCCAATCCTAGTTCTGCCTGCAGACCCTCGGCAAGTTCCTATGGCCTTTCTGATGAATCACACTGCGGGTTCTTCCTTGCACCAAATCCCGAGGACCAGAGAAGGCTGACGCCACTAGCACTGTGTGAATAGTAGAGTAAAAACACCCTTTCCTTTCCCGCCTTGCTTCCTTTTGGGGAGAAAGAGGGCAGGGACTTGGCTTGGCATGGCTGTCCTCTGGGTACTCCTGAGTTCCAGCTGCTTTTTGAGTCTTGGCACAAACACCAGCTTCAGAGCTATAGCCAGACAGTTCTTTTTCCACTAGGCTGCCCCAGCTGGGTGGTGGACACAGTCTTCACAAATAGCTTTTTATTTGCTTATCTGCAAGGAAGGAGGGGAGAGGGGCAAGTGATAGAGGACAAAATCAATTACTATTTTTCATCTTTGACAAAGTAATTAAGGCCATAGCGACTGGCTAATTCTGGCCGAATGGCTGCGCACTGATGGATGCGGATTTACAGCCTCCTTGGCTGCGGTGCGCACCGGCCCAGATTATCACTCTGAACAGGCGGCAGAGGCAGGGGGTGGAGGCTTATGTGGGGTGGGTGACAGACTTTTCACCCCGCCCATTTCATATTAATTAATTAATTAATTAATTTTATTTAGTTCTGCATCCCCATCCTTGGAACCTCACAGGCGCTGACAGGCAACTGGACCCCAGATGATGCATCCCAGTGCTAGGTCCCTGCTTAACAGTGGGGGCTCAGGGAAAGAAGCGGGGGGGGGGGGTTGCTCTTTTGGTCACTGTCCTGTCAGAGCAACTCCTCTCGGTGTCTGGTCTCTGAACAGTCCCTCTACTCTATCTGCAGCCCCTCCTTTCTGGAATCTTGCGGCTGGAGGAGAGGGCCTTTGTGGAGCTTGAGCCGTTCCTACTCATCACCCGCCTCTGCAGGACCTGATTAGCCCCATGCTAACCCAAATGTGCACTTGTCCAGGCAACACGTCAGGTCTGTAGACTGAGCGGGGGCGTCGTGCATCACTCACGGTCAGCAGCAAAGTGGGGGTGGAGGGTATCGAGAAGTAGTCCTGCACGACTCGGCCACCTCAGTGCATCCCTCCTTACTGGCCAGGTTCTTTTGCACACTCCACCGACTCCCGCGTCAAGTTTGGCAGGGGCTGCTCAAATGCAAATTTGGAGACTGGCCACAAGCTTTGAAGTCGTGACTATTTGCTTTCAAAGTGGCCTGTGGACCTCAGAGCCAGACCTGAATCTTAACTAGGGGCGGGTCTCACGACTCCATTGAGGTCAAGGCTGCCCTCAATATTTCTCCACTCCACTTGCTTTTCCTTGGCATCTCGGGATATTAGAGGAATACCAACCTTACCGGCTTTCAGTACCTTTTCAGTCAGAGTACCCCAGTGTCCCATTCACCCCCTTATTCTTCTTCTGAGTCCTTTCCCATTTCTCGGATGCCTAGAGTGGGTGACTGGTGCTGGCAACGGGCTGTGGAGGAGCTAGTAACTTCTTTGACATTCAAAATAGACCCTGACCTTAGCTTTCGCAGCATTAACATTGGAATAATTTCTGAAAGGCTGTTGGCAAGCTAAAACGCGGTAATTTCGTGGAAGCGTTGCAGATGACCCAATAGTGAAAGCTCAGTAAATGTCAATAAAAGGCTATCTGGAACTCGAAAGACACTGGGAGGACAAAGATCTGGGTACCTACCTACACACACCACCACCACCACCACCACCACCACCACCACCACCACCACCACCACCGCCCCCAATCCCAAATAGTGCAGACCCGGAATCCAGGTGGCTATCCTGGGAGAGCCAGGCTCACAGACACATCTACCACTCTTGGTGTCTTGGAAGGGTGAGGGAGGAGACCTGAGTGGAGCAGCAATGCCCCCGGCGTCCTCCGCAATCTGCCACCGCAGCCTGCGCCCTCGGCCGCCACTGCTTTGTCCTGGCTCCACAGGGAGACAGCCCAGTCGAGTGAGACGGCGTGGACCCGGAGGCGGTGGGCCCCGCTGCGCGTAGTGCAGCTCTTTCCAAGCTTCCAGTTCCAGAGGCCATGGTTCGCTAGCTAGGCTGTCACGACAAGAGAGAGGGGAGGTATATTGCTACAAATCCCCTTCTAGTTTCCAAATGACATCTTTGCAAAGGGCTTTCCCCCTTTGTGATTGTCGCTGCTGCCTTGTACCCCAGGTAAAGTCCATGTCCACCGGGTCACTCTAGACCTGGCTTGCGCCCACCCTAGGGTTGGCAGTCTTCTTATGGTTTCCCAGAGGGCCAGTCCTGTCCCGGGTTGCTGGGGATCCAGTTTCAGGTAAAACTGCACTCTCCAATCAGGCCTGATTTTAAAAGATTTTTGTTTTGGAAGACTATGGAGGAAGGGTGTGTTTTATATGGCTGGAGGACTAAGTCAGTATTTAAAAATAAATATTAAAAAAAATCCAGAAGAGCCTAAAAAGTACAACGAGAAACAGGATTAGCAGAGACAAAACAGGAATGAGAAAAGTACATTTAATAGTTTAAACGAAAACCCAGGGTCTTTCCTAGATTGGCTTTCTGGAAAGGTCGGAATGTAGGGATCTAGACACCACACACTGACCAGTCAGTCAGGTGCGCCCTCACCAAATCCAGGACCCTCTCCTGGAAGAGGCATGGGAGATCTAGCTGGATACTGAGACAGGCCTGCCATTATTTTAGAAGCCGACAGAGATTCAGGGAGGGCGCAAACGAATTTGATGGGAGAGGGAGACTGGTTTGACCCCCCTCTCTCACTCCAGTCCAATCCGTTTGCTTGGCGGCTGCGCCTTGCCTTGGAGTCTTGGGTGCAGTGGGACGTGTCTCTCCCATGGTTCCCTTAATTAGGAGGTGGCAAACTTTTCTCGTTCCCTCCCACCGGCTTTGGTTTAGTAATCAGACCCACATGAGTCACGCCAAACACGCAGCCCCCTCCTACCCGAGTGACAACAAGACAGCGTACTCCAGGCTGTTGTCCCTTTAAAATCCGAATCCAAAGGGGTAATGATTTATCAAACGTGTATTATCAGGAAGATGTCAAACGAAGGGCACCTTGCTTCCCACTGACGCAAACCCGGCCTTTCCTGGGGAGATATAGAAAGCGCCTCTTGTTCCAGGGCCAAACCTAGACCAGTAGCGGGTTTTACTCTACAGTTCAATCTGTTGTCCGCATCAGACATGGTGAGTGCTTGTTTTTATTCTCTAAAGAAGAAAGGTGGATGTGGGGATAAGGATGGCAGACTCTTTGGGGATATTTCTTTTTGGAAATATCTGTGCAATAGGCGAGAGGTAGAGAACGATTTTCGAAGGCTTAGGTTCAGGTATTCGCACTTGGAGCTTTGCCTGAGGGCAGAGGAGGTTTTTCCCTAGTCCGTCGTCGCGCTTCTCACAACCGATCTCAGGCACTGTCCGTGGTGCTGAAAGCCAAGATTCCTGCACCCTGGAGTCGCTCTGGGTCTTAAGAGGCAATTGAGAATGCCGACTCCAGTTCAGGTATTGGGTTGGGTACACGTAAACTCAATCTGTGCATTTGTGAAGCGGGTTAGAGCAGAGGGTTTCAGTTGAGGAGAAGGTTCTTTGATTAGTTTTACCGTGAAGTAATTATTTATACTATCTTGGAACTCTGAAAGGTAACACTAGCACGCAGAAGCCAAAGGGAAACTCACTGCTGGCAAGTCTTTAAGTTTAAAATTCAATAGGGAGAAAGCTAATGAAAATTATTGGTGAGTTTTGGTCCTCAGTCAAGAGTAGGAAGGGAAAGAATATTATATTCCTGGGAATGGACAGCAAACTAAAAAATAAGACACTGGCAAGATCTGTACATTGTAGGGTCTGGAATCAAGTGTTGAGAATGTAAGGGTCAAAGCCAGCTACCATGTTTTCCCCATCTAGTTTATTGTTTTTTGATAGGCTGTTTGTTGGTGGTAATATTTTGATTAAAAAAATAACGTTTATCTTTGACTTTGCTACTTGGGCTACCAAGGTAGGTTGGAGTGCTGGAGTTTGAATTTACCCGTGTAGCTTCCAGGCTTGGCCTACCCCAGAGCATGTTTTGTGATCACAGCTTGTCTATGGGGGGAAAAAAACGCAATGTGCATTGTTGAATGACAAAGGAAATGGGGCGGAAAATTAAAGAATCTTTCCACAATGGTGAAGGGAATGTGGTACCCACGGCTTTGATTTGAAATCCACAGAGGGCAGGGAGCTCCTGGCCGTAGGGTTATTCCTATATTGCCCACCTCTTCTCCCCTGCCAAAATCCACTCGTTTTTCTGTCTTCAGTTCTTCCTCCACCGGAGAGAAAATATTAGCTTCTTAGTGTCCCAGTATTACAGACGGGTGTGGCGAGTGGAGACACACCAATTCCGTTTGCTACTCTGTCTATTTGTGCTTGGACCTGGTGTGCGTGCTTCGGCGTATATGCAGATCCATATATTGTATTTTTAATGCTGCCGTGACTTTTTGTTTGTTTATTTTGCACGAACTTGACATTGTGTTTGCAGGATTGCAGTGCTCCCAAGGAAATGAATAAACAACCAGCCAACATCTTGGAGGCAGCGGTGCCGGTGCCGAGCCACCGGGATAGCCCTCGTGCGCCTCGGACCAGCCCTGAGCAGGATCTTCCTGCGGAGGGCCCCGGGGCCGCTGTCCAGCCGCCACGTGTGCCCAGGTCGGCTTCCACCGGCGCCCAAACTTTCCAGTCTGCGGATGCGAGAGCCTGCGAGGCCCAGCAGCTCGGAGTAGGGTTTTGTAAACTCAGCAGCCCCCAGGCACAAGCGACCTCCGCGGCCCTCCGGGACTTAAGCGAAGGGCACAGCGCACAGGCCAATCCCCCTTCCGGGGCCGCTGGGGCTGGCAACGCTCTGCACTGCAAGATTCCAGCTCTGCGTGGCCCGGAGGAGGACGCGAACGTGAGTGTGGGCAAGGGCACACTGGAGCACAACAATACCCCAGCCGTGGGCTGGGTGAATATGAGCCAGAGCACGGTGGTGTTGGGTACCGATGGCATCGCGTCGGTGCTCCCGGGGAGCGTGGCCACCACTACCATACCGGTAAGCAGGTCACAAGCGGCCCCTGCTGCCTGCTGTTCACCAACCGCGCGAAGGGAGCTGGGCCCTGGTGGGTGCACGTATGCTGATGTTGAAACGGGTTGGCAATGCCAGGTGGTGGATGCTGGAGGCAGCTTGGGGCTTCGGAAGCTCGCACTGCTGGGGGCGGGGGGGGGGGGTCAGGTTCTCAGTTAAGGTTTGGGGTGTGTGTGCAGCGATTGTTCCAGCAAGGTTCGGACTTGCCCTTCCCAGCCTCAGCGGTAGAACCGGTGCAGATCCGTTAAATAAAAGCAGAGATTCTGCATCTTGCAACAGACGCGAGTCCCTATCCTATCAGTGTTTGAGTCTTTTTTTTTTCGGTTCTTTAAAAATAAAAAACTCCAATAGCATGGGAGGGGAATGTAGCTTATTCTAAGGGCTTTCCCCACGTGAGTCAACGTTACTACCTGAGAACTCTTAATGAGGTGCCGCTGAACTTAAGCATCAGGGTCTCTTAACCTGGGCCCTTCTAAACCTCGGTATCTAATTTTTTTTTTTAAACTTCCCCTAACATAGGCCCTCTCACTTGTATACGGTTCAGTACTGGCCCTTCCCATTTGGGTATCCCCTTAAATGGAGATAGAAAAAAAAACCGTACAGATTGAACCCCGATCTCTGGACCAAGGATAAAGACACTCTTTCCTCCTTAAAGGCTTTTGTTCCATTTCACCCCAGTGATTTCTCTTCCTTCTCTGATCCTCCCCCCCCACCCCCCCCCCCATTTCAGGGACTCTTTCTCTTCCCTTTCCTTGGCCTGTCTTTCCTCTAGCTCCCCTTTAGGCTGGCAGTCATGGGCTAGGTGTGTGGCCAGAGCTCGCAGGCTGAGGGTGGGCCAGATGGAGCATCACCATGTGCAGTGTAGGGTTTATAGACCTCTCTGTCTCTAATCATCTGTAGCCCCACCCCTACTCACATAGTAGGAACTCAGCCACCCAATCATCAGGGTAACTAGAAATAACCTTGCATTTGCATGTTTCTTTGCTTTGGAATTTCTTTCTAGAACAGTGTTCTGCATATATTAGATGCTTTTAATGGCACGTGCCCAACAGTGGAGTAGAAAATATGTTTCACACACCTCCCTTTACCTCTGCACTGCGACAAAAAAGAGCTGGGACTCCCTTACCCTGTCAGCTTGTGTTGGGGGTGGGGCTAGGGGTGGAGCCGGTGTGTGTGGGAGGAACAGCAGTGGGGCTGAGAAGGGCTGCCAAGATCGAGAGTGCCAAGGTTTCAGCCCCTTCTGACAATCACTCTGCCCTTCTCGAGACCCTAGGCCATCTTCTCTCTTGACCATCACTGCTTTATCCTCCATGAGCTGGAGAACCACGTGAAGCACTCCATGCTGTCATTTGATGGGTAAAGAGTGACTGGGGAGTAGGGTATCCCAATGTCTGGGTGTCAGGGACACACAGTTCATACAAGGTGCCTTCCCCATTCATTTTGCTGAGACTTTCTAGAATCAAGTCCTTGTGATCTTGGAGACATGAGCCTTAGAGATTCACAGACTATGTAAGTTGGCAGATGCCCCAGAGAGAATTATTCAGCACCCCCTCCCACATTGTCCAGATGTGGACAGAGGCTGAGCCAAAGCAGTACACAGGGAGTTGTCCTGCTTAGTAGCAAGATTTAGATCAGAAGTAATGGTTTTGGCTGTCCTGGTTTTTTACCACATTAGTCTTCTCATATTCTTTCTCTTGTGTCAGCTCCAATTCTCCATCCTGCCTATTTCCCTTGCTTCAGGGTTGAAGGATGCACCTTTTAAAGTTAGCTGGCCGGGCAGGTTTTGCCTGCAAGTTTTGGCAGAGAAATGTGAAGTGGGGGCTCTGGCTGGCTTGAAGCATTACAATTCTTATTTCTGCCACACATTTTGAAGAAAGGGCTGAAGGGGGATGTGCAGGGTGGGGGTATTGTGGGGTTGGAGAAGGAACTGGTTCGGAACCTGCTTGCTGGGAACTTCAGGCATGATACTGGGAGTCTGCTTGCTAAATGAACTCCTGGCGACAGGTTGGGTGTGAAGGAACTGATGTGCTTGGGGAAGGCTGCTTGCTGGTGTGCCCTGACTGTAGGATTTAGGAAACCGGGTCAGAGGTCTGATTAAAGTGGATCTTTAGAATAAAATCTGGGGGCCTGCTTGCTGAAACACTCAGTGCAGGGGCGAGGGGTAGATGCATCCTTCAGATTTGGGATCTTGCTTGCCGATGCATCCTATGCGGGGGGAAATTGGGGATCTGCTTGTGGGGGAAGGACCCTCAGCTGTTGTGGGGAGGGCTAAATGGCGCCTGCTGAGGACCTACCTGGGTCTGCTATCCGACAATGTGCTTTTCCGCCCTCAGGAGGACGAGCAAGGGGATGAGAATAAGGCCCGAGGGAACTGGTCCAGCAAACTGGACTTCATCCTGTCCATGGTGGGGTACGCAGTGGGGCTGGGCAATGTTTGGAGGTTTCCCTACCTGGCCTTCCAGAACGGGGGAGGTATGGCTTTTCAGCTCTTTCCGCCTGCGGAGGGGGCGGGCACTGGAGGGGTGGGACGGGTGCATCCAAAGACCTTAGACAGAGGTTGGGAGGGAAGATTGGGCAACCTGGTCCTCTGCAGGCCGGACTGCAGTAGCGAATGGAACCCTCTGGATTTCAGAGTGGACATCGGCTCAGGTGAGGTGTAGGCCTCACTCACTAGGGATCTCTGTTAGCCCAGACTGGGGACTGGGTCCCCAGCCAAGTGTACACAGAAACAGGCATGTTCGAATTCAAGTTAAACACCGATTAGTCAGGAAGTGAGTACTCCCTAGCAGGAAATGCACTTTAAAGCCCGACGCCCTGCGGTCCTGAAGGTCAAATTGTATCTGGCTTAAGGTTGTAACTGGGAAATCCGAGCCTCCTTCTTGTTTGGAGACTGCGAGAAAGAACAACCTTGGTGGAATACAGGGTGCAAGAATGCAGGGTGCAAGAGCAGTGGGGAGCTTGGAGCGTACCTACTTACTGGGTAATCTTTCAGGAGTACCCCACCCTAACACCCTTTTTCTTGGGAAGAGGCAGGAGATATTTTGATTTTAGTTAAATCATTTAGCAGAGATTAATCTTCAGTGTCCTCAGTGTGTGAAAGACGCTGCCTTTGAAAGAAGAGTGGGGACGCCAAGGAGAGTGGGTTAGACTTCACTGGATCTTGGATGTACCTACCAGGAAGGGACCCTATAAAGTCAGGATCTCTTGGCTTGCCACCAGAGGTCCAGTCGAGGGGCCGGCTGATAAGGACCCTCTAGGAATTTACATCTCGATTGGACTCAAAGTGCAAAGAAAGCTCCCCTCGCCCAGTCCTCTCTGGCTGGGTTTTAGGTCTGCTCCAGGAGGTATTTGGTGCCGAGAGTGGAAACCACGCTGCAGTAGGGGACAGTTGTGGTGTAAAATAGAAAACACCCTCCACCCTGCCCGTCCTTGCAGTTCCGAATAAGACACGTTGACAAGTACTAATGCAGACTACAGAGTGTTCCAATTCAGGGGTGCCCCTGAAACTGATAGGATGCACGCCCCGACTGTTTCCGTTCTTCCCCCAGCAGGCCTGAGTGCAGGGACGCGGTGCTGATCTTGGGGCTGCAGGGATGGGGGGGAGGGGGTTTGCGCGCGGGAGGGAGCAAAGGGAGGGATTCCAGATGAGCGCTTTTACCTGGGAAAGTGCCCTCCCTTGTTTCACGCGGCCCTGAAGATTATAAGGTGGCCCAAGAAGAAAAGCAAAGGCTTTGTCCGCAGTGCGGCTCAGGCACCTCACAGCCCGCAGCATGTGAGGGGAGCTTCGTCACACAATGAACATTTTTTTTTCTTTTAAATTTCTATCCAGAGAGAATAGAGAAGGAGCCCAAGCCTACACCCCAGTAGTTTCTGGCCTCTATTGGGACCTTCCTGACTGGAGGCTTTGGCAGAAAAAACGACCTTCTGCCAGACAGACCTGGAAGAAGTCAGGGAAAGGGTGGGGGTGAGGGAATAGCTTCCTGAGCTGAGCACGGCCTCCCAGATTCTCCCAAATTAACCTTGACTTGTGAGAGTATTTCCTGGTAATTCCCTCCAGGTCTGAAAATCGCAGAGAAAGAATTCCCCAGAACCCAGCAAGGCCGCAGGTACTAGGTACTACAGCCTCCTCCAGGCCTCTGAGGAATAGAGTTGAAGGGGATAAACTTCTGAGAGCTCACAGTCTAGAGGAGACAGCCACAAAAATATTCTGAAGAGAAGGGTGCTTGGGGCAAGGGACTGTGGGAAGACTTCTCCCCAGGAGGGCTGGCATCTGAGGACTAAATTCTGAGTGGAGAAGAAAGTTGTGTGAAGATGCTGCGGCCTATGGGTGATGATGTGAGTGGGCACTTCGCCTGAGAGAGAGAGTATCTAGTTGTCTGAAGGCAGGGTAGGCCAAGCTCTGGTGAGGTGAAGGTTTGTGGTTTCCTCAGATTATTGTACAGGAGGCTCACAAATCCAGCTTAGCTGAGTGTATGAGGGCCCTTAAAGGGTCTAAGTATTAGAGGGAATCCACCAAATCTGCCTCCGGTGAAAGGCACGGATTTGTGAAACAGTAGAAGGGCTTAATTTGGGAGTCTGGTTGGGAATTGAATCATTTTAAAGAACCCAAGACCATCAGCATGCAACTTCTGTCTGGTGGGAAACTGAGACAAGTACTGTATCCCCATGTATAGCTTTATGATTTTGGAAGAAGGCCCTAAACTGCCCTGTGGGCGCCTTCTGTTGAGCTGGGGCATTAAAAGCTTCTTTAGTTTATTTTTAAGGAGACCAAGCCCAGCCCAGAGGGTTAAGTTGGGCCATAGCCCTGCTTATGTCTCCTGACTCTTCCTTCCCACTTTCTTTCCAAGGTGCTTTCCTCATCCCTTACTTGATGATGCTGGCACTGGCTGGCTTACCTATCTTCTTCCTAGAGGTGTCCCTGGGCCAGTTTGCCAGCCAGGGTCCCGTGTCTGTGTGGAAGGCCATCCCAGCTCTCCAGGGTGAGTCCAGTTCCTCTTTGTCTCCTGGCTTTGCCCTCCTTATCACCTTCTAGACTTAAGGAGGGACACCGACTCCCTCTCACCTTCCCTTCATCGTTTCTGCCCTTGTGGGGTCCTTGGCAGGTTGTTTCCATTTCCCTGGTAGAGGGCATATGTATCTACCTGTGTGGGTGGAGCCTCTGTGTGGGTGGAGCCTCTGTGTGGGTGGAGCCTCTCTGGGTGTGGCTCTTGCATGGGGTGCGGCAGGACACCGACACGGCCCTTCCCCTTTGCAGGCTGCGGCATCGCGATGCTCATCATCTCTGTCCTCATAGCCATATACTACAACGTCATAATCTGCTACACACTCTTCTACCTGTTTGCCTCTTTCGTGTCTGTGCTGCCCTGGGGATCCTGCAACAACCCGTGGAACACACCAGAATGCAAAGATAAAACCAAACTTTTACTAGGTAAGTTTGGACATGCTTTAGCTGTACGTGGTTTATTCAACAGATACTCTGTGAGCACTTAATAGGCAGGCCAGGCCCCTGGGCTCACAAAGGTGAAGTCAAACTTCCAAACATACTTAATTCTAACATTTAAAAAGCTCATGCCTAAAGGATGGCAGTCAGAAAAGTCTTCTTTTCTCCCAGAGAGCTGACGTGTTTGTTAAATGTTCAGGTTACCATCCCTGTGTGGGATGCTTGCCTTATTCAAGTGGGTGAAGCCAGGAAATTTGGATTTTTATCAAGCAACCTATGTTTTGCTTTGTTCCACTGAATATTTGTCCATCTAGCTGTGATCTGGGAGGGAGTTAGGAACTCTCTCTGGCTGTTTTCTTTTTTCTTTACCAAGAGATGCTGAGATCCTCATTGGCAGAGTTCTCAATAATAATGCTACAGGTCACAGACCCCAGGATCCTCACACATGTGACCCCCAAGCTCTGACTGCAGACGTTGACCCAGACTCTGTTAGAAATATGGGTAGTATGTGGACCAAGGAGAGGGCTGCCTGCTATGGGGTGAAAGGAAAATTGGTGCTGGGTGTGTGAAATCCACTGAGTCTAGGAGTCGTGGGATACATTTTCAGCATATTGGGCAGAAGGAAGGAATGGATGCCAGGAGACCCAGGACACAGAAACAATGACTGCATTCTGTAATCTACCTTCTTATGTTTACCAGAGGAAAGACATGGGGGTATGATAACAGCTGTGAATGTGTAAAAGTCCATGAATGTGTGTGTGTGTGTGTTTCAGTTAGTGTCAGTCACTGTGGGAAACTATGGTTATTTAATGGGTACCGGTAAGCAAGAAGCCTCTCCCAGGTTTTCCATGGAAGGTGGGTTCCTACTGAGGCCAGTTGAACCCACAAATAATCTCTGTGATTTATTCTAAAATTCACCTCCCAAACCAGTTCTTTCCCCTACAGAGCCCACACCTTGCAGAACTTTGACATTATTTGCCCCCATGGGTGTGTTAATAGCATAAAATGAGTTCTTCCCTGCTGTATTAGTTACTTTCTGCTGCTACGACAAAATACCATGACCAAAGGGACTTTTGGAAGAATGAGTATATTTTCCTTATGGCAACTACGAGTCCATTGTGAGGGAAGAATCAGCAGGCATGGCCAAAGAAGCAGGAAGCTGAGAGATCACATTAGGAAACAGAACACACTGGAAGTGGGGTGTCTTATTCAGTCCTTCAGTCTTCTATTGCTGTGAAGAGACACCATGACTGTGACAACTCTTATGAAAGAAAGCATTTAATTGGGGCTCGCTTATAGATTCAGAGGTTTTTTTCATTACCATCAGGGCAGGGAGCATGGCAGCATGCAATTAGACAGCTGGAGAGGTAGCTGAGAGTTCTACATCCAAATCCTGCAGGTGTGCAATGGTTTGGGTAGAAGGGAAGTATCTCCACTGTTGCTCTCTTTTGGTCTTATTCATAACTTCTCTAGGTGGAGGCTGGGTGTGGTGTGTATGTGTGTGCACGTGTGTGACATACATGTGTGACATACATGTGTGTATAAAAGTACTACAGTATAAACTACGTCCATAGATGTGGGACAATAACTTGAGACTTCTGCAGGCAGCAGGAAGAGAGACACACTAGCTTTGGTGTGGGCTTTTGAAACCTTAAAGCCCACCCAATGATGCACTTCCTCCAACAAGGCCACACTTCCTCCAACAAAGCCACACCTCCTAACCCTTCTCAAGTAGCGCTACTCTCTGATGACTAAGCATTCAAATATGTGAGCCTATAGGAGACATTCTTATCCACACCATCACATGGGCAACTCTATAAACCCTCAAGCCTGCTCCCAGCCTTACTTCCTCCAGCAAGGCCACACCTCCTAAACCTCCCCAAACAGCACCATGTAATGAGGACCAGTGCTCAAATACATGAATCTATGGAGAACATTTCCCATTGAAATTAACACATGTTCTGTTGTCCCAATCACACACACACCACACCCAGCCTCCATCTGGAAAGATTTTGAATGATAGCAAAAGAGAGGAACACTAAAGATGCTTCCCTTTAATACAAACTACATACCTGGAAGTGCTCAGGCATAGGGAATGGGGCTTGTGCCGGTTCCCAAGTACAAGATTCCACTCTATGGATGTGTGACCAAGGCTAAGTGTCCCTCAATATCTGTGAAGCTCATTGTCTTCATCTCCACTGGTTCCCCATTGATTGTTTTCTTAGGGTAGAATAGTGGTACCCAAAGCTGGTAGCTGCATATCAGAATCACCTGGGAATGAGCAATGTCAGTCACTTAAGGAACAAACTTGATGAATTAAAGGTCAGACTGTGTCGATGACCCTGGGAATCAGGATTTAGAATTTTCTCAGATTTGGACTTAGGATGTATCTCAGTTGATAGAATATTGTATACTGTGCATAGGACCCTGAGTTTGATGCCAAGTACAGCATAAACTTGGTGTGGTAGTATATGCCTATGATTCCAGCACTCTGGAGATGAAGGCAGGAAGACTAGAAATTCAAAGTCGTCCTTGACTGTGTAGCAAGTTCGAGGCCAGTGGGCTACATGAAATCCCATCTCAAAAAAGAATATATATACATTTTTTCCCAAGTATAATCGAAGCTAGGAACTACCAGGGCAGAAATTGCTCACTGCCTTTCTATTTTTCTTGCTGTTGGGGACTGAACACAGACATATGAGCCACCATCAAGTAACACCCTCCCCACTTCTGGAATACTTTCTGACAGTGTGGACCATACTTGGTTTTGGAATGGGATGGCCCACCTTCTTTACCCCATGCAGTGGTTACCTTTAAAAAAAAATCTGTGATACTGGAGAGACTCACTTTGTAGCTCTCCACAGAATCACAAACAACAATCAGATGCCAGAATATCTTCTTGGAAACAATCACCAACTTTAGACTGGGCACACTTTCCAGGAATTGCAGTCTGGAGTGGAGAAAATTCAGGTCGTAACCCAACCCAGAGTCCAGCTTGCCTTTGCCAGAATATGACTGGAAAGGAAGTCTCATTCCAAGCTGTTGATTTGATTTAGGACCCAAGGATGCTTTCTGGAGCTTGACTAGAAAATCAGAGTATGACTGGAAAGGAAGTCCCATTCCAAGAGTATGTCCTAGATCAAGTTTCTGCTTTGATTTAGGATCAATGCTTTCTGGAGCTTGCCTGAGAGACCATATGGTCACAGTGATCGGTGTCCTGCAGCTGTCCCCCAGGTGGGAGTCATTCAGAAATGTACAGTCCTCAACCAATAAGGTTCACTACCATCAGTGTAGCATCTTAGCACATAGTAAAGACAGCCTCCTTCACTGCACCCTGATCTCTCTGAGAAGCTCTTTCACTGAATTGCCAGTGTTACTATGCACAACAAGCCTACAAAGACATACCATTGTTTCCTTGTTACAGGTGAAAAACCTTGAGCATAAGCTCTGAATTAGCTGTCTGGTCAGACTTGGGGACTGCAGTCCAAGTGTGCATGCCTTTTAAGGCCACGGACTTACCCCAGTGCTAAATGCTTCTCAGACTGCAAGGCTGCATCATAAAGTGATGTTTTTGTCCCTCTTGAATAGAACCTATGAATTTCATATGGCAAGTGACATGATTATTATTATTATTTTCCAGATGGCTAAGAGGATTTTTCAAACTTATACTGTAAGTTGCAAAGTAGACCCAGGTCTGCATTTTGGGCCATATGACCCCAGATTTTTTGTCTGTCCAGAGTGCTTAAAGAATCTTTGGTCCATGTGTTCTATTCTATCAAGTCCCAGCAAAGTGACATCATTATAGGTGTTTCCCAAGTGATGCTTGTGGTTGATATTCTGTGTGATAGCAAGAAAGATTATGCACACAGTGGCTAGGCTATCTACATTGAGGTATCTGTGCAAAGGGAAAATTAGAGGCAGGTAAGTATGATACAAAACTGGTAATTGCAATCACATTCGCAGTACTGGAAAGTAGTAGGAACTTAGTATGTGATCAAAATTCACACAGTTCCATCGCTCAAATAAATTATGGCTCATCCTTAGAATAAGGTATTCTACAATCATTAAAAACAAATATTCATAAATAAAGCATGGGGAAAACCTCCCACATCCTATTAAGTGTAAGAGCATGCTATGTTCATAGTGGGATTTTATCTTTATTAGCAATATCTACATGGATGTAAGAATAAAAATGTTAACAGGTTGGGGCCAATCTTTGCTCCATTTTTTCTGTCATAGACATGCATTTATTGTGTAGTTTATATGTTTTTATATGTGTGTGTTTATTCTTTTTAAAGCTAACGGTATTATAACCTTGGCCAGGCATGTAGATGGTGCCTCAAGAAACAGGCATGACCCTGCCCTGGTTTAGCTTCATGTCTCTCTCCAGTGTGGCTTGAAGCAACCCTTAGACGAAGAGGGATAGAGGCCTGGCATGGCTAGGTGTCTATTCACCAGCTACACACCATTAACACAGCCAGAGCCAAGACAATGGGCATATTTCTCTGATTATTCTCAGGAGCCTATGAATGAGTCAGAGACCAGAACATTCTTAGCCATTGTTTTAATTTTTTTTGTTAAACAAAACAAAGTATCAATATTGCCCCACACCTTTCTCTGAACCCCACCTTCTTCAGCCTCTGGATTACCTGAACATGGGTGGGTTCTATACACGGGTCCAAGTTCTCTTTGATAGGGGTTTCAATCCTGTTGGGGTTTTGAGGTGACGTAGAAATGTAACAGTATCCTGACCTACAGAGATACAAGTTGTTTTAAAGTCCTTCTGCTTGGCTCAGCTGCTGGAAATTCAGACAATAGCTTTTCCCATGCCATCTCCAAGATGGATATGCCAAGCTAGGTTTCTTTGAGAAATGGACCTGCTGCTCCCCCCGACCCCGCCCGCAGTGTTCCCCAAATGACCCCCCAGGCACACCGCCTCAACCCTGTGACCACTTACTTTTCAAAGCAAGCCTGGCATCGTTCCAGGAGAAGAATGAATGTATAAATGGTTTAACGTTGTGACCCTCACACAGGGTGGAGGTGTGTCTATGTCTGGTGCTGCCCTGATCATGTTATCTGATTTCTTACGTCAAGATGCAGATGTCAAGCACTGTGCCCACTCCAGCCTGAGACCAGCCCTGGGGCAGCCTATAGATAGAGGTAGAATATGCCCAGTCATTTCATCTTCCTTCCCCTTTTTATTAAGACCAAGCCTTGTTCTGTAGTTCAAATGCAATCCTTCTGTCTCAGCGTCCGGCGTCACTAGATACAGCTTGTAGGACAGGCTACTGCCCAGGCTGACTCAGCCCTCCAAGGATCTGCAATGGAGGACAGTTTGTCCTTACCTCTCGGAACGAGTTCACTCACTGTTTTGTTCAAACAGGGCCTTAGCTGGGTCAGCTCAAATGGGAACAGTATAAACACCATTTCTATTTCTGGAATGGCTTAATTTTCATTAGAACTTTAATTAAATGATCCCTTTTCTCCCCGGTCTTTCCTGTGCTTTCATTTATTAATAATTGCCCGAGTAAAGAGAATCCCATTCCAACAGCTTTCCAATTTAGCCGATCATTATCGCCGTTCTTTGTTCGGGGTTGCTGGGCCGCGGAGCTCTGATGAGATGGCCTGTCACTGCTTCTTTGGCGGACAGAAAGGGCTGAGAGCCGGGAAGCACGCTCCTGCCACCCAGTGGTGAGAAGAGACATTGCACTAGGCTCGAGGCTGCTGGTAGCTCTGCAGCATTGCAGTGGGAACCTGGAACCAGACCTGATGAGGCTACCCTGGGCTAGTTAGTGGTGTTCCTCTGGGCACCCACTGGTCTAGGGCGTCTTTACAAAGGCAATTTTGGAAGCAAGCGTGAATCCCTGAGATCTTAGCGGATGGGTTACTTTTCATCAGGAAAAGCCCGAGTTAAGTCTTGCGGTTATTTACGCCAAAAGGATCTGAGCAGAACTTTAATCACCTGGTTCAGGTTGCTTCTGGGGGAAGAACTCTTCCCCAGTAAAGATTTGATAGCTGTCAGTATGGAATGCTTCTGGAACTTTTTTTTTCTGTTTGTTTGTTTTTGTTGTTTTGTTTTTTTAATTAAAGAAACTAATATTGAATAGGCAGATTCTAGGAGACAGCTAAAAACAGATTTTCAGCCTGAGATTTGGTAGAGCCAGTTTTGGTTTTTCGTCGAGGGAGGGAAGACCCCTGGTGTTTGGTGAGCAGCAGCCAGTGGCTATTACCACATAGGTCAGCTTTCTACCAGCAAAGAATGATTTGGCCTGGGAAGTTATTATTAGGACTCCACAGAGAGAATCTGAGGAACCAATCAGAAGGGAAGGGGTTTACGACTGTTATTTGAATCTTTCTTGTTTAAGATAAGGTTGACCTTATCCTGGTAGCTTTCCTGTTTCAGCCTGTAACATGCTGGGATTACAGGTGTGCACCAACACATATGCTCTAACCGGGGGCTTCGGGCTGCTAAGCAAGCACTCTAGCAACCGAGCAACATGACCAGCTCATGTTGTCGGAATCTTAACTCAGCATTCTGAGTTAACTAGGGGTGGGGGTGGGGAGGCAGCAGGCAACTGTGGCAGGCCAGTGTGTTCATGAAGTGGTCTTGAGCACTATCTGCTCCGTGGACAGGATAATGATGAAGACTAGGTTACTGTTAGGATTTATTGAGTACTTTTAAACCTCTTATCTCACTTAATTTGGTTCCTGCAATAGCCCTGTAAATGAGATCCATCCATCCCCAGCAGCTGGAGGTGCTCTCAGGCCTGGTAGAAGCCTGAACCCCCACTCTTGCCCTTGTGGCTGCACTCACAGAGGGTGCGGCTCCGGGGGTGCCTCGGGGGTGGGGTACAATGCATCGAAGATGCATGAGTTTTTTTTTTTTGTCACGGTGTCTAGAACAATTTTTTTTTAATTGGATATTTTATTTATTTACATTTCAAATGTTATCCCCTTTCCTGGTTTCCCCTCTACAAATCCCCTATCCCAACTCAGTCTCCACAATTTAGAAAGGGAAGATGGCATGCAGACTCACTTTCTGCATCTGGGCCTGAACATCTGGAAAAGGTCATCACAGATTGGTGGGAACACTCCGTTGCTCCTGTCATTCCTCATTTATGCCTTCCTCCTTGGGCTCCATCCTGGACTCTCTAGGTACCTGAGCCCATGAACTCTGCTGTGTATTCCAGAGTGAGGATTACAAACAGTGAGTGCCCAGTTGTTCCTGGCAGGACTTGCAACCTTGGCAAAAGGCTGCAGCTCTGGGTACCAGCTGATTCCAGGACTTATCTCACAGGGGGTGATATAAGGCTTAGGGACATGGACATAGAGTATTGATGACATCCCTGAGACCCAGTCCTCACAGTGCCAGTTGTCCTGCTACTTGCTGCTTGGTAGAACTGTCTTTTGAGTCCAATGGGCTTTTTATTTCAATTTTTTTTTTATTTATTGCACTCCTTTCTGTGGTGCTGGGAATAGAACCCAGGATCTTAGGCATGCTAGTTAGTGCTTTACCACTGAGATAACCTCCAGCTATGTGTCTATTTACACTGCTGTTAGAAAAACATTGTGAAATGATCAGAAAGATCCTAGCTTCTTCCTATTGAGAATGAAGATTAAAATAATCTGTGCTTGCTGGGTCTAAGGAAGACTTCTTGAGCTGAGTCCAACATGGTGCCTTGTTGTAGAAATTATTTAATCTCAATCTGGGGTTTCTAACCCGCCCCTTTGATCATTCAGTTCCCGGATAAAAGATACACAACTTTTATTATTTACAATAAGCCTTAATCAGTAGTAGAGCTGGGCAGATGTCTACCCTCTATGTTATTAAAATCTATGTTCTATAGATAATCCTGTTATTACTTACTATGTTTCATTTGGGCTGCTCTTAACCCCGACTGGGCAGCCCTCATGGCCACTCCTAACCTATGGCATCTTTTTTCTCTTCCACCTTCTTTTCTCCCCTATGATCTCCTCAGATCTCAAGCCTGGGAACCCAAGACTCTGCCTATCTCTCTTCTGCCCAGATATTGGGTGTAGGCATCTTTTTTTTGTTGTTGTTTTTTTTGTTTTTCGAGACAGGGTTTCTCTGTGTAGTCCTGGCTGTCCTGGAACTCACTCTGTAGACCAGGCTGGCCTTGAACTCAGAAATCCGCCTGCCTCTGCCTCCCAAGTGCTGGGATTAAAGGTGTGCGCCACCACTGCCCAGCTGGGTGTAGGCATCTTTATTCACCAATCAGGGAGAATTCTGGGGGTGGGGGCAAGGTTACATACCATCACTTGTGTAAGTCACTTGGGTAAGTGCAGACTCTCAACCCTGGAGGCAACCAGGCCTTGGAGCATTTAGCATTACAATACAAGGAAAAGACCAAACATCAACAGTGCCCCAGGCATGCTAACTCTTGTGTGGTTGATTTTTTTTCTTCTTATTCCAGGCAATCTCAGCTATTGAGATTTTGGACTGGATAATTCTCTGTTGAAGGAGAACAGACTGACTTGCTCACTGTAACATCAGTAGCATCCTCAGTCTTTGTGCACTTGATGCCAACAGTGCCAAGCTTCTCAGATACAAATGTCAAAAATCTTTCTGGTTGTTACCTATGGCCCATGATGATCAAATCTACCAAGACATATTTTTAGTCTTGTTCCTTAGGTCTTCAGGCTCTTTAGCACACAGTGTGATCAGTATATCTGCTAACCCATGTGAGGGTGGAAAGAGCACAGCACAGGTTCTAAGAGTGCCTAGTGTGTGTTGTCTATACTATTAGGTGGTGCTTCTATATTATTCTTTGTTTGATACAGAATCTAGTTCAGGATGTCTTAGAAGTCTTGCTGTGAAGCTGGTCCTAACCCTAAAGCTACGACTCCTTTGTATCATCCACCTCTCTAGTGTTGGGATCACAGATGTGAGCCACGAGACCTGGTTTTATGTGGTGCTGGGAATTGAACCTGGGGTTTTCTGCACGCCTGGCAATCTACAAATTGAGCTGTATCCTGTCCCCCTTAATCTTCCTGCCTCTGTCTGATGCATGCTGGGATTACAGGCTCATGTTCCTGTCCGGGCCAGAGAGACCACTCACTAGAAAGCCCTCTGTAGCAACAGCACTTAAGAAGGAGTTATGTCTTAACAGGTCACCCCTGCTTAAATTGATTTCTATAATTGATATGCCTTCTGTAGTGTCCTAAGGATCTGGATCTGGATCTGAATTTTGATCTTTCTTGTTATCTCTGGGACCTAAGTAGTGCTATTGACCTTTAAATGACCTTAATGACCTTAAAATCCCACTTCTTTATTTTAAAAACTAATTCATTACTTTTTTTTTTAGACGAGGTTTTACTATATTGCCCTGGATGGCCTGAAACTTATTATATGGACCAAGCTGGCCTTGAACTCACAGAGATCCTCCTGCATCTGCTTCCTGAGTGCTAGGTTTAAAGGCACAAGCCCAATTTTTCTATTTTAAAGATTCCAGGGTTATGTAAATATGGGTTTTTGTTATTAGTAGAAGGTATTGCAGGACTGGGGGATGTGGGGGTGAGAAATGGACTCTGCCCATATTTCCCTGCTGCTCCGAAATGCTTAGAACTCTGGCTTCTTACCTCAGAGGAGAGAGAGACTGCTGTTCATTCTCCATACTTACTTCATTGTTTCTGGTCCATCCTCCTCCTCTCCTGAACAGATTCCTGTGTTATCAGTGACCATCCCAAGATACAGATCAAGAACTCTACTTTCTGTATGACTGCCTATCCGAACTTGACAATGGTTAACTTCACCAGCCAGGCCAATAAGACATTTGTCAGCGGGAGTGAAGAGTACTTCAAGTAAGCTGGCTGGGTCTGGGGAAGCTCTACAATAAGCAAGCCCTGAAGATGGTTTGCAGACCAGAGCTGTGAGGTGGGAGGGGTGGGTGGTCCCCCCTTTGTGCTCTCTTGTTGATGTCAGTGATCAGAAAGGGAGATTGTGTCTAGTTGGGCTTCCAAAAGCCATGTGCCGTGCACTGTGGTCCTGCACATGAGGGATGACTAAATGACACAGGTAAGAACAAGATTGGTACTGTGGCAATCTATCATGTTGATAAGAAGTGAGTGCTAACCTTGACTCCTGTGGTCCAGCAGACATCTGCTGGCCAGGTCACTCTGTCCACCTGCACTTGACCTCCAGGCAAGAGAAGTTAAAAGTAAGAAAATCATTAAGGTCAGGCATTCAGTTTCAAGGAAGAAACAGACTTTCTTCCATCCTTTCCTCCCTCCCTTTCTTCCTCCCTCCCTTCTTTCTTCCCTCCCTCTTTCCCTCCTTTCCTCTCTCTCTCTCTCCCTTTGTCCCTCCTTCCTCCTTCCCTCCTTCCTTCCCTCATCTCTCCTTTCCTTCCTCCATCTCCCTTTCCTTCCTTTTCTCTCTTTATCCTCCCTTCCATCATTTTCTTCTTCCTCCTTTTCTTCCTTCCTGTTTCTTCCCTTCCTTTCTTTCCAGAAAGAGATTCTTTCTGTAACTCTGACTGGCTTGGACTCACCATGTTGTCCAGCCTAGTTTTGAACTTACAAGAATTTTCTTGCTTCAGTCTTTCTGGGGCTGGTATCACAGGCACAAGGCCCCATGCCTGTCTGAGTTTTGTCCTTTCTCTGTGTCCATTGTTGAATGCTGGCAATGTGGTTCAGGATTCCTAAAAGACCCTCAGCTGTAAGTGTACTTGTTGAAATGTTTGTGGAGGGGTTGCAGTGTACCCACTTCATGGAGGGGAAAACAATGTGGTCCAGCCAAGCCGAGCTCCTACATTCATATGCACTCTGGTGTGAGCAGGATTGTAAGTGAGTGAAATTATAAAATGGCGGGGGATGGGCTGAGGCAAGCTAAAGGGGCACCTTCAGGGAGCTGGGGTGCTCAGACCCACTTGAGCTATTTTGAGGCGATATGAGCCAGTGCTGTTGGAATCTCATGCAGCCCCGTCTTGAGCTCTCTATGTAGTCCACTGATGGATATAGTCCACCGTAAATCCTCCTGTCCCCATCCCTCAATGCTGGGATTGCAGGCTTGCACCATCACCCTGTTCACACAGTGCTGGAGATTAAAAGCAGGATTGCATTTGTGCCAGGCAAGCACTCTACAGAGAGTACTTTCATATTTAACCAATGTCAGCCTCAGAGCATGCCCAGTACAGCCTGAACTACAATGCAGAGGTACACTTTAAGTGACTGCTTTCTGCCTCTCCTGCTTTGTAAAGTTGAGAAGTACAATAGTGCTTCAGTAAGGAAAAGCCTGACATCATTCTATCATTCTTGACAAGTCAGACTTTCTTCTTCTTCCTCTTCCTCTTCCTCTTCCTCTTCCTCTTCCTCTTCCTCTTCCTCTCCCTCTCCCTCTCCCTCTCCCTCTCCCTCTCCCTCTCCTCCTCCTCCTCCTCCTCCTCCTCCTCCTCCTCCTTCTCCTTCTCCTCCTTCTCCTTCTCCCCCTCCTCCTCCCCCTCCTCCTCCTTTTCCTCCTCCTCCTTTGTCTTTAAAAAAAGAAGGTTTATTTTATTTATTTGTGTGTGTGTGTGTGTGTGTGTGTGTGTGTATGCATGTGTGGCTATAGATAAACCTGAAGAAGCTGGAAGGGGGTATTAGATCCCTCAAAGCTGGAGTTTTGAGTATTTGTGGGCTGCTGGGCTCCTCACCTTGGTGCTGGCATCCAGACTCCTCTCCTCAGGATTATGCAGTCAGTACTCTAACCACTGAGCAACCCCCAGCCCCACTTCAGAATTTCTATTATACATCTTTCATTTTGTTTATTTACTTTTTTTTGAGAGAGAGTGTCAAGTTCAGGCTGGGCTTGAACTTACTATACAGCTGAGAATGACCTTTAAACTCCTGATCCTCCTGCCTCCACATCCTGAGTATTGAGGTTACAGTTGTGCTTTTTGTGTGGCAACTCCAAATGATGGTGCCAATTGTTTTTCACAAAATCAATCACATTTGACCTTCCAGTTCAGTTAAAGAGATCAGCAAATGCTCAGTAGACAGCCTTAGGCAAGAGCCAAACCCACCAATCTCTTTAGCCTGCTTGAAGAGGTTCCCTGCTCAGAGGCTGTGGGAGGTGCTGGGCGTGTTTACATTTGTAGGTTCTGATGCTCTGATGCAAGGTTGAAGCTTGCAGATCTTCACTTCTTCTCTTCTTCCTCCCTCCCTCCCTCCCTCCCTCCCTCCCTCCCTCCCTCCCTCCCCTACCCCTCCCTCCCTCTCTTCTTCCATCTCCACCTGATTTTTAGGTATTTTGTACTGAAGATTTCTGCAGGGATTGAATATCCGGGTGAGATCCGGTGGCCCTTGGCCTTCTGCCTTTTCCTGGCTTGGGTGATTGTGTATGCATCGCTGGCGAAAGGAATTAAGACATCAGGAAAGGTAAGAACTTGGCTTTATCTGAGCTCTCTTCCCCCTACCCACCACAGCTTGCTCCTCTTCTGCCTTCTTTGAGACTGGGTTACTCTTCCCACAGCCTTCAGGTCCCTGAGGGCTTCTCATGGTGTTTGTTGTGTAAGGTTGTCTCCACTTGAGACTTGAAACTTGGCAGAGCTTTTGATTTACTCTTAACGTTTATTTTTTCCCCACCAGCTAATAAAAAGCCAATGTTCTCATCTTAGCTATTTTAGAGGACTTCTGTCTAATCAGTTTGAAGGTGAAGGATGTTGGGCTGACAGGTGTTTAAGGCCCTCTAGTTCCAACATTGTTCTGTCTTAGCATTGCCAACGGAGCTATTAGGCCCATGCTTCTCTAAAATCTGTTTACTAACCTGTAAAATAGGAGCTGGGATTGAGGCTGGAGTACCCCACTAGCTCAGGATGAATGCTATGTGGGCTATAGGAAGATGCAGGATGCTGAAGGGACCACATAGCGACGTCCAGGGTCACCTGTGGCTTTCCTGATGTCTTTGCCTCACATGGATTGGACTTGAGCTGAATGGCAGCTCCATCTTCTAAGGATGCTTAGCACAACCAGCCAAGAATCTGCTCGGAAAAAGTCCCACAGGCTAGAGATGGAGATGATGTGGCTTGACTAGAGTCCAGTGGAAAGGAAGCAATCACTTCCTAGCTGTGTAACTTTGGCAAGCTAGTAAACCTTGGGAATGTGTTTCTTAATCCTTAATCCCCTAACCTGGGGATGTTAGCCCATACCCTGTAGGATTGCCATAGGGGGTAAGAATGCATGTAGTCTGGAGCTGGTAGGCTTGTCACTGACAGCTGCCACACTAATCCTGGTTCACTGAGGAAAGTTTCCAATCAAAAATCAGTGGAGACGACTCCCCCTACCCCCAAAATGAGGACTGCTGCCAGAAATGATGAACTTAAGTTTCTTATTCTTTCCTGGGTTGTACTGATATGAATCAAAGATATTTGAGAGCCAGAGAAAATGTGGGACTGGGTTGTTCATTTGTGTTTGGCTCCTTTACAATGGACATTCCACAAGCAAGGCCCCGTCCAACAGAGATGCCTCTTTCCCTGCAGTGATGTGAGCTCTGTTCCTCTAGTGCAGGACCTGAGGGGACAAAGTTGGCCCTTTGGAGACACGGCCTTTGAGCTGGTAGAACGCCACAGGTGATCAGTAGGCAGCCTGAAGGGCCTGAAGGTCACAGGCAGATAGCCTGGATCCTGGGGCTGCTCTGCTTGCAAGTTCAAGCAGTACAGTGAAGCTAACCTAATTAGCTGTCTGTGTGGGGCCCCTGCTGTGAGGAGGGTGCCTGCAAGGGCCAGGTGAGCCAGTCATCATTCTCCCTGCCAAGCGTGATTCATTACTGATCACAGTCGGTTCTAACCGGCCATATGAAACAGGCAGAAGCCCGACTGACCCAGGTAAGCAGCTCTTCGCTCACATTTGAGATATAAGCCAAATATTTCTCTCTCGCCTTCTCGGTTCACCAGGAGCAAAGGAACTGGGCCACCTACACATGGGGCCATGCACAGGGGGAGGTGAGAAAGTACCCGAGATGTGAATTTAAGGAGACACTCACACTGGCTTGTAGGTCCCTGCAAGTGGCACCTCCTGAAGGCATGCGTCCTAGACACCTCCGTTGCCTACTGTTAGCACCCAGCCCCTGTTTCTGGTCTGTCAGCTCACAGAATGACCCTAATGGAAATAATGGCTTTGGAGTGGCTTCAGGTTTGGATCTTGGTTCAAGCTGGAAGTCCATGAATGAAATATTTAATCCTCAGCTTCTTTCTTTGCAAAATAAGACTCATCTCACAACAGCCATGTGGAGACAGCTGGCTCAGCTGACTGGGCTGATGCCAAGTGAGAGAGAGGGGTCTTGATGGGTCCCCCTATAGGCCTCCATGGACTTGGAAGTCTCTTCTCCTCTCTGGTCCTCCTATAGGCTTTCCTTCCATCAGCCCTGGGTCAGGTGTCCTCTGTTGCTCCTTCCCTGATGAAGTGAGCCTGGCTGTGACCATGCCTTGCTGGGTAGCAGCTCCTCTTCCAGTCTCATCTCACGGCTGGGAGGTCAGTCTGGCTAGCCTGAAGAAGAGCGATTTTTTTTGTCTCAAGGTGTCAGATGTCCTTGGGTTTTGGAATGTCTGTGTGCAGGTGCAGTCTTCACTTTCCTTCAGACTTTAAGAGGAGAGAAGCAAGTCTGGAGATGTAGAAGGGTGTCCTAGTTAGGGTTACTTTCCATTGCTGTGGAGAGACACTATGACCAAGGCAGCTCTTATAAAGGACAACATTTAATTGGTGCTGGCTTACAGGTTCAGAGGTTCAGTCTATTATCATCAAGGCGGGAGCATAGCAGCATCCAGGTAGGACACGGGGCTGGAGGAATTGAAAGTTCTACATCTTTCCAAAGTCAAACAGGAGAAGACTGGCTCCCAAGCAGCTAAAAGGAGGGTCTCAAAGCCCATCCCTACAGTGACATACTTCCTTCAACAAGGCCACACCTACTTCAACAAGGCCATGCCTCTCAATACTGCCATTCCATGGGCCAAGCATATTCAAACCACCACAGAGGAGCTGGCTGTGGGCACTACCTCATCTCTGGGACCAGAAGGAGGTGCCACTTGCAGGGACCTAATATTGCATGGGTCAGAGGAGAGGCATCATGGTCAGTGTAGTGGTAGAGGGGGAAAGAGGTGGCCAGACCCTTCTGGGCTGGAGCCAGAGAATGAGAGCTTGGCTTTGAGTGGCAGGGTGTTTCAGTGATTGACAGGTTACCTTTGTGGTCCTAGGCAGGCTCTCAATCCTCTTCCATTTTGATTGTCCCATCATACTCCTCCAGTACTCTGTGAGGATCATGTAGCTATTACCACCTGCAGGTATTGGTACTTACATCCAGAGAGGTTTAGTGACTTCTCAAAGTGACCTAGCTCGTAAGTGGAGGAGTCAGGATTTGAACTCCAGACCCTATTACTGTGGAGCTAAGCAGGCACAGTTTGCCACCCCTGTTGGTATTCCTTCAAGGCTCTGTCCAACAGTCCTTTTTATAGCAAGCCAGGCCTACCTGGCTGCCCACTATCTACCAAATCTCAGTATCAACCCCTTCCTTCGCCTTGAGGCTTGATTGACAGGAAAGAAAGTAACTTATCCTCATCTAATACATCCCTAAGTTCTGCTAATGTTTTCTCCAGATGTTCCTTTACTCAGTCCCTCCATCTCCTTCAGAAGCTACAACTATGCTTGCACTTTGGGCCTCCCATGCTCTGACTTCCTCCAGCACCTCTAGCCGCCCATCTCTCCAGTCTTGGCCTTCTGCCATCCTAGCAGTGAGCAGGAAGAGCATCACTTTCTAGTTCCTGCCTCCCCCACCCTCTTCCCTCCTCCCCCTTACCAGCTTGCCTGGACTCTTTGAGATTGCCTTCCTGCTCTAAGACCCATGAATCCTTCAGACACTCCCAGACTGGGCACTGCATACTTCCCTTGAGTCCCACAAGTTTCCTATTGCTGACTGCTCAGTCCTTATTCAGATCCTGAGTCTTTTCCATTATGTACCCCGTCTCTGTATAGCAGAGCCAGTTCACCAGAAGCCCTCCATATATGCCTGTGAAACTTAGGCATATTTAATGATCCTCTATGGTCAGTTCCTGTGCCTGCTTCCACACAGCAGCTTGTATAATCCTATGTGTTGTTTTAGGACAGGTGCTCTGTACCCATATTACAGGTATATAAACTGAGGTTCAGAGGCCTTCCGAGCTTGCCCAAGGTCACACTTCAGTATCAGAGATAGGATACCATTTGAGTAGGAATGTGTCTAATTTTAGAATCACAATCTCTTCACCCTGTGAGGCCATTTTACCTAGGCAGTCTGTATAAGCCAGGATGGTATGTATAAGTCAAAGTGTTTTAACTCTAATGGTGAAATTCGGGCCCTCCAGCAGAGATGGGGTAGAGATTTTGGAGAACATAGCACAGAGCCTCCCACTCCATCTCTGGCTTCTTGCATGTTGATCACTTGGTAGCTGGGCAGGGGGACATCTTCTCCGGGTCTCCTGTGTCCTGGCTGCCTCACCCCAAAGCCTTAGGCCTCCTCGCTGGATGCTTTCTTCACCATGAGGCTTGATTGACAGGACAGGAACGCGAGTACCCTCTGTTCTTCTCCATCTGACCTTGGCCCCAGTGTCTTTTGTGGGTCTCTAGCACTGTCAGAGCTTGGGGAGACCTCACTGTTGGACTAGGGAACTGTGCCTGCTCAGCTACACATTAGCAGTGTTTAGGGTGACAGGTCCCCTGCCACCTCAGCTCAGTGATATCCTCAGGGATGCTGACCTCTTGCCTCTCTATCCTTTTGCTCTGTAGGTGGTATACTTCACAGCCACGTTCCCTTACGTTGTACTGGTCATCCTCCTTATTCGGGGAGTCACCCTGCCTGGAGCTGGAGCTGGCATCTGGTACTTCATCACACCTAAGTGGGAAAAACTCACGGATGCCACGGTGGGCTCATTACTCTGTTTATAGTGGACCGGAGGCAGGGGTGATGTGTGTGTGTGTGTGTAAGAGAGAGAGAGAGAGAGAGAGAGAGAGAGAGAGAGAGAGAGAGAGAAGGAGGAGGAGGAGGAGGAGGGGGGGAGGGAGGGAGGGAGGGAGGGAGAGAGAGAGAGAGAGAGAGAGAGAGAGAGAGAGAGAGAGAGAGAGCGAGCGCGAGAGCATTTAGGGTAGACCACTCTCCTGAATGTGGAGAAGCTGGAGCCAATGTCCCTTCCCCCTCGGGGTCCCCATGGCTACATCTTCAGGTCTGGGAGACCTTGGTGTGCTAGGATGGTGATCAGGCAACTGAGTGCTTTCAGATTCTGAAGTAGTGGCTCTCCATCTGCAGTTGCAGTCTAGGCCTAATGAAGGCAGGGGTCCTTTGATAGCTTTGGGCCACTACACATCACTTATTCGTCACTAAGTATAGCGCGTTGGAAGCAGAATGTTGCTGGCTGGCAAATCAGAGCACAAGCAGATCTTTGATTTTAAAGGCCCCAGACACATTTGAATATTTCCTGAACCCAGATGTGGGGCCAGAAGATACTTGAACTCTCTCTGTGGGCTAGGTGTATGGACATCACACTCTAAAAAACTCACTCTCTCACACACCCCTCCCTATGAAGGGTGAGTGTGTAACTGCAGATGAATATTGAAAACTGCTTTTCCAAGGGTACATCAAAAACTCATGGCAAGGATTGAGTTTGGCTGCACATACCACAAAGAGTCCAGGTAATGGCAGCATAAACAAGATAACAGTTGATGTCACTCTTGTGGTTGCTGGTCGAAGGCCAGTCCAACCTTTTGTGACATCACGAAGGATCAAGGGTCTGGTCTGTCCTCATCACCATCCTTAGCATTAGACCCCCAGATCTGCTGCAGCACCCACCATCACACCATCATTCCAGGCAGCAAAGGTGTGAGAGCCGAGGCAGAGAGAGGCAGCCTTCCTCTTTTGAGGAGCAGAGACTGCAGAGCTTCCACATAATAATTTATCTTCACATAATTGGCCAGAGACTTCCCTGATGGAGAAGCTGGACACAACACTGATATTGTTTCAACTGATCAAAGCATTGTCTCAACCAATCAAAGCATTGTTTCAACCAATCAAAGCATTGTTTCAACCGATCAAAGCATTGTCTCAACCAATCAAAGCATTGTTTCAACCGATCAAAGCATTGTCTTGTCTGAGCAGACAAGAATTGGTGCTGGGTGGATGTGGGTTTTAACCAGTCTCACACTTGAAATCTACCTTAGCATTATTTCAAGTACACTAAAAATTTTATTACACATTTGTTTCTATGCACTTCTCTCTCTCTGTCTCTGTCTCTCTCTTTCTGTCTCTGTCTCTCTCTTTCTCTGTCTCTCTGTCTCTGTCTCTCTCTTTCTCTGTCTCTGTCTCTCTGTCTGTCTCTCTGTCTGTCTCTCTGTCTGTCTCTCTCTCTGTCTCTCTCTGTCTCTCTCTCTGTGTTTGTGTGTGTGTGTGTTTAGGTCAGAAAGCAAGCTTTGGGAGTCTTTTGGGAAAACAAATTTGGGAGTTTCTGCTTTGTTTGTCCTAGTCCCCAGTTATTGCTGCAGGTGACTTTAAGTACCAAATTTTTCACTAGCCACCTTAAGGTCAATTTCAAGATATGATTATATTGATGAAGATAGGTCTGTTGTAGATACCATATATACAGTGTGCAAAGGCTTGAGTGACCTGGAACTTTTTGATGGTGGCCAGCAAGAGTCACTCTCTCAGGCCAAGCTCAGGAGGAAGGTGGCCTTGTGAAGTCTGTCCACTTTGTTGCCACTCTTCTCAAGAGTGTGGAAGCTCAGGTTCTGGCAATTGTCATAGGCATAAGACTGTCAATTAAAATGGGTTTTTGTTTTGAATCCGTGACTATATTTCAGTGTCACAGATTGTTCTTTTAGATTGTGCTTTTAAAGATGTCTGTCATCCTATTCTGTCTGGCGTGATGTGGTGGGACATGTAACCTGGATGCAAAGGTAGATTTCTAGTGTGAGGCTGGTAAAGCCGATATCCATCCAGCAGCCATTTTCCTCGCCCACTCAGAAAGTCTGCACATAGATTATCCCAATCCCTCCTAGGATTACACAGAGTTAGAATCTCCCAGCAAAATCCTGCCTGGGCTTCAGGCACAAGAGAGGTACGGATTCCATTTGTGCACTCACAGCTCTCTTGTCCCAGTCACCTTCAATTCACGTGGGAAGGTGCCATGATGTCAAGTTTGTCACCGGAGGCTGGACTCTCTCGGTGACCTGACTCTCCTTCTTCTTCCCAGGTGTGGAAGGATGCTGCCACTCAGATTTTCTTCTCCCTGTCTGCGGCCTGGGGAGGGCTCATCACTCTTTCTTCTTACAACAAATTCCACAACAACTGCTACAGGTATGTGCGGACATCCGATCCAGAGGCTGTGCAAACATCCGGTCCAGAGGCTACAGGCCAGCAAACAGAGCAAAACAAAGCCTCAGCCCACACCCAAGGCAGTGTTAGAGTCACGATGGGCTCAGGAGTGCTGGCTAATGCCTGGTCACTCACTTCTTCATCTCAGCTGACCCCACTGACCAAGGCTCGGAGTGGAGACTCAGTGGTTACCTACAGGATGCAGTGTGTCCTTGGAAAAGGTCACTGTGGCTGGCTGTGTCCTGTAGAAGCCCATGTATACAGTCATGGAATACTCAGGTGTGCAGTAAGGTCACTGATGACTTGATTTCAAGAAGGAAAGACAGCCTGATGCAGAGGAAGGGACAGCATGGAGCTAGGGGGCATTTGAGGATAGTTTTCCCATGTGCTACAAATGCAAGGATGCAGCCCTTTTGGACATCTGTTTTCTCATCTATAGAGCACAGAGTACAATGTCTTGTGAGTAAGAGGTGATGCATGCAGTTATCGAGGGTATTTTGGACATAGTAGGTCATCGGTAAACAACAGTAGTTACTGTCATCATTCAGAATCAACGTGCCATAATTTAGCCCATAATTTCCTTGAAGGACAGGCTCAGATGCCAGATTCAGGTATTTGAACAGTTTTGGTCACACTGCTCAACAGCTACTGAGGCCAACTGGTCTGAAGACCATCAGCAGGCAAAGAATTGCTGTGTGCTCACAAGAAGTGAGGCTACATGGCATAGGAGCTAGGCTGAGAGCTAGAGAGTTATTCAAATTCTGTTTTACTACCAAGTAATCTATGGATGCCCCCTTGCCTCCATTTGCTCTTCTGGTAGCATACGGGTTTACAGGACAGATGTTTTCTTCACACTGGCTCTGTGCAGGGCCTAGTGAGGGGCACAGTCCCCATGTTCACAGCCCCAGAATGAGAGAGGTGAAGTCATTGCCACCATTACAGTACAGGAAGGGAACTGAACTACTCAGGGTCATTTTAGGTTATACATGAACCAGGCATGGAGATTGTAAGGTCAGGCTTGAACGGGTAATTAGGTCATAGGAACTACCACAGGAAACTTGCTTTCACTCAAAATTGCAAGTGGTTGCTACCAACAAAGAGGGGGGTAGGGGTGTTGAGGAAGGGAAGGAGGAAGGGAAGGAGGAAGGGAGGAGGAAGAGGAGGAAGAAGGCCAGGATTTTAATGTATGTCCAATGCTCCTTCCTTCTTTCTGTGACTTCACATTTGAGCCTTGGGTAGGCTGTGAACCCCTGGCTCTGTTACCAGCTGAATGCTCTAGAACAGTGGTCCTCAACCTTCCTAATGCTATGACCTTTTAATACAATTCCTCATGTTGTAGTGACCCTCAACTGTAAACATTTTTTAGTTGTTGTGGTGGTTTGAATATGCTTGGCTCATGAGAAGTGGTACTATTAGGAGTGTGGCCTTGTTAGAGTAGATGTGGCCTTGGTGGAGGAAGTACATTACTGAGGGGGTGGGCTTTGAAGCTCTGCCCAGTGTGGAAGAGTCAGTTTTTTCTTGGTTGCCTTCTGACCAATTTATGGAACTCTCAGCATCTCCAGCACCATGCCTGCCTAGATGCTGCTATGCTTCCTGCCATAATGATAATGGACTGAATCTCTAAACCTGTAAGCCGACCCCAATTAAATGTTGTCCTTTGTAAGAGTTGCCTTGGTCATGGTGTCTTTTCATGCAATAAAACCTTAATCAAAACTAAAGTTGGTACCAGGGAGTTGGGTGTTGCTGTGATAGGCCTGGCCATGTTTTTGTTTGGAGGAATGTGGATTTTGAGACTTGGATTTGGAAAGCAGCAGAATGCTTTAAGTGAGGTTTAATGGGCCATCTTAGTAGGAATATGGAAAGCATTGGTGCTAAGAGTTCTATATCTTGTTTGGAAGGCAACCAGGAGAAAACTGATTCTTCCATCCATTCTGGGCAGAGCTTCAAAGCCCACCTGCTCAGTGATGTACTTCCTCCAACAAGGCCACACCCACTCTAACAAGGCCACACCTCCTAATAATGTCACATGCCATGAGCCAAGCATATTCAAACCACCACAATTGCTACTTCATAACTGTAATTTTGCTAGTTATGAATTGTAATGTAAATGTTTTTGGAGATAAAGATTTGCCAAAGCGGTCATGACCTACAGGCTGAGAACCACTGTTCTAGGATGAAGGCAGTGATGCCTGTCTCTGTTGCTTCTCTGGCCCTTTTAAGCCCTTTGACCCCCTAGCCCCGGGTTGCCCTCATAATTCTGATGTCATTTCAACATCCCACTGCCTTCTATTCCTCTTCCTCATACTGAATCTCAGAACTCTCCTTCGTTACTGTGAGGGCTGGATTATCTCCTATCTTGATATCATAGTCATTTTGGGCTATTATTACAAGAATACTTTACATTGGATAATTTATAAACAACAGAAGTTTATTGTTCATATTTATAGAGTTTTAGAACTCTAAGATCAAGGCGCTAGGAGATTCAGTGTCTGATGAGGTCTCTCTCCAAGTTCCTTGTTGCTGCGTATGAGTAAAGATCAACACAGTACACACCTCACAGCCTCTTTCATGAGGGCATCATCTTATTCATTGGATGAAGCCATCCTTTCAATGGCCTGCCTTATAAATGTGACCACACTGGGGATTGAGCTTCTTCATACTAATTAGGGGGAGATGTGAGCATTTAGCCACTGTGAATTAGTTCTGACCCTGTCCTAAGCATCAGGAAATAGAGTTTCCCCCAGAGGTCCCAGATGGGGCCATTATAATGTTATAACATAGAATAATATATAATATCTTTATTAATTCTATGAAAGTGTTATATATTTTGATCACATTCACTCCCTCCTCCCCTGCCTACCACCTCCTCCTCCCTACCTCCCTTTTCTTTGTGTATTTTTGTTGCTAGAAGACATTGTCTCATACCAGACCTCCTGGTCCTCTAGCTCTGACAATCTTTTTGCCCCCTCTTCTGTGATGTCTCTGAGCCTTGGGAATAAAGGTTGTGTTGTAGATTCATCAGCTGGGGAGTTGGAGACCAGCACCTCACAATCAGCCATTCTCTGCTTTCTCAGATGGTCTCCTTTGTTGAAAAAAGAAAATTCTTTACTGAGGAGTGAGAGCTACATGTTTATCTGTGGAAATGAGAGTGAGTGTTTAGATTACAGTTAGAAATTATACTGGCTTAGGAAAATAGCAGTTGAGTCTTTTGAGGCATTTTGGATTGACAGAAGGGCATCTGTGCTTGGGACTGCTTGCTTCTTTCCTTGGATGTATGTGTGTGCAGACAACATGTCCATAGGTGGTCATGCATGCACACGGGTACATAGGTACATGGCACACACTTGTCCTTCTCTGCCTCTTCCTACTCACAGAGTTCACCTAATCTCAAACTCTGGTCTCTTCCTTCCAGGGACACGTTAATTGTAACCTGCACCAATAGTGCCACTAGCATCTTTGCTGGGTTCGTCATCTTCTCTGTCATCGGCTTCATGGCCAACGAGCGCAAAGTCAACATTGAGAATGTGGCTGACCAAGGTACAGAGCAGTGGTCACCCTGCTGTTCCAGGGCAGGTTCCTGACTTGCTTTACAAGCTCCTGATTTGGTCTATCAGGAAGTTGAATGGATGGAGGTGGGGTGCTCAAGTGTCTTGACAGAGTGAGCAAGACAGACTCCATTGGGAAGCTCAACGACGAGTTAGAGACAGATCGTTTTTTGGCCTGTTCCCTCTTCCTCTGTTTCTAGCCCCCCCCCCCCCCTTTGTCTTCCTTGCTCTCTTAAACTTGCTCCAGCCTGTGTGGGTCAGGGTTGTGCCTGCTGTACCACTTAGACATGAGCAGGGGAGTCATTAGGCAGCCCACAGCCCTGCAGCTGTGCCGGTGCCCACCGTACAGTGCTGGAGAAGCTGAGCGCTGGTGCTTAATGAGCTCCAACTGGACGTCAGGGAGCCTTGTCCTTACGAAGCACTTTCCTAATTGTTAGGTCAAGTATGTTCTCAAGGCTTTCTGCTTAGTTAGCACTGCAGCCCTGCAGTTTTCTCCCCAGCGAGTGGAAAGGTTGGATGGGTGGTGGGGGTGGGAGTGTGGGATAGATGTTTACACTGCACCCAAATGATGCTAACATTTGCATAGTGCTTTTGAGTTTGTAAGGAGCTTTCATTTGAATACATTCAACTTATATTTCCAGGACAGCATTTGCAGAGGGAGCATTTGCGATTTTTTTTATTAACATTATTTCCACTCTGCCTGGTTCTATAGAAGATTAGGGTATTGCAGGTTTGTGGCCACTGGGGGCCTTCATTGTGGAGATTGCTGATTATTCTGGTCTGGACTGACCAGACATATGAGCTTCAGCATGTGGGGACTGTGACGGGAGCAAAAGAGGCATGACCCTGGGCCCCAGCCCCTCCAGTGGTGGGAGGCTTGTCTGGCAGTTGTCCTTCATGTGGCTCCCTGTGGTTTTCAGAGTCAGCACACAGCAGAGCCAAGTTCTAGAAGGTCACCTTTTTGGAGGCATGGCCCAGGCTCTTCCTGTTCACCAGGCATAATTAATCACTGCTTCCACTTGTGCCAATACAGCCTCAAAAAGCTAAAGCTCCAGCATATCCCAAGGGTATTATCTCTCCCTGGGGAGTGTGAGCCCCCAGGGATGTTCGTTCTGTATCAGTGGGCTGTGCAGTGCTTTTCCTGGCTGAGAATTTCCCCATTCTCTTCGAGGAGGCAGGAGATGCTAAGAAGGCCTTATCCTCAGGCATGGAGCCATCCCTAGCTGTTCTGTAACCTCAATTTCTTTTAGCAGAGTCACTGAGGCTGATAGTTTCTGCCCCATTTTCTAGAATATCTGAGACATTTTGGTTTCTAAAACAAGACAAAACAAAACAAAACAAAACAAACACCAAATCTATCTTGGGAATTAGTGGACGAACTGATAAAAATAGTATTTGGGGACACACAGGCCACTTAGGCTAGCTGCCCTAAGCTGTCTACTGTTCTATCCCAGTGAGGCCAGGGGAGGACAGGTACCACTAATAACCAGGTTAAATCTGTGTATCTTCTACATGCAAAACAGTAGAAATTTCTAGCATGTCCCTCTGAAATTCCCCTTTCCATAGCTGCTTACTCCCTCCGTTTTACAGAAAGAAAATCACATCTAATCGAGGCACAGGAACAATGGGGTTCATTCTCCAGGAGGGTCCCTGAGTCTTAGGACCTCTTCCAAGACCCGTTGTGGAAGTCACATGTATTCTTTAAAAAATTTTATATATTATATATTCTTATTGTCTCTTTTATTTTTGAGATTATATATAATTATATAATTTCCCCCTTCTCTTTCCTCCCATGTAGCCCTCCTTTCTCTCTTTCAAATTTATGGTTTCTTTTTATCAACTGCTATTGTATGTATACATACAGACACACAGACACACAGACACACAGACACACAGACACACAGACA